ACAATACACCTGTCCATTCTTCACTTCATGAAACATGTAAGTTTTCTTGGTAAAACATTGCATCACAAGTATTTTAGTTCACTACAGTACAGGTTTGGCTTCCTGTGAGAGCAGTCTTTTCCTAAAACTAAAATCAACATTGAAAGGAATATTTCAGACCATAGATGAGATTAAGAATGTGATGAGGCAGTTGACAATCTCTGAGAGAAAACTTTGCACACTGTTTTGAAAATTGAAAAGAATGCTGGAATAATTGTGTGAGATACTAAGGAGAGTAGTTTGAAAGAGATAAAGACACCATTGCCATAGGTAGGCTATTTTCATTAATATTGAATGACTGGATCATATCTGGACAGACCTTATAAAAAATGTTCATAATAAACATTACAAGGGTTTCTAGCAAGAGTTGGAATATAAAATTTACAGAATTTTCCACCAAAAGAAAATTAGTTTCCTTCATTTTTCTTGTAATTTGATATAGAACTTTAAGTAATTTACTTTTTTTTTATATTTTCACTGTTTTCATGGAGCTTAAGGATTACTTTATTTTCTCTTTCTTACTGTTGGATAGTCTATTTTCAATTAAAACATACAAAATACTTTACAATATATCTACTGGCATGAAATAAAAGACCTTACTAGAACAAAGGAAAGTAAGATTTTTTTCTCATTACAATTATATGAACTATTTTCTTGAAATTTTATATCTGATTAAAATGTTACAAAATAATATTTTCCTTTTCTTTAAGCTTAAGGCCATTTGTTTGAGAATTTGTTTTTATGAAATATTTCAATCCTTCTGTCAGGAAATTTAAACTTCCTCTGTTCATATATATGAACTGTTTGTACAGTTTAGATCAGCTATTTTCCAGTTCTTTATATATATATATTCAGAGTAACAAAAGTTGTTGAAGTTGTTTTCAGTATAAAATGGGTTTTTAAAATTCTGGTAATAAATATTGACTTTTATTTTTATACTTTTTACTCTTTTCCTTCTCTTTTGTTCACACACAAACTCTTACACCGATTCTCTCTTTATCATTCATGGTTTATGTTGTATACTCACATTGTCTTCCTTGCTTAATTTTTCTGTCATCAAACTCATTTTCTCTTCATTGTCTTACTAACTATTTCACCCAACTAAACCTTCAAGAAAGAATACATTAAAAGACAACCAATAATTCAAAAACTAAACCTAAAATAAACTCTAAACTTGGCAAAATAAATCAAGGTTTTATCAAGATAATAAACTTGTTTTTTAATGAGATCATTTTTTTCAAGTCATTAATATATATATTTATACACACACACACACACACACACACACACACACACACACACACACACACTACAGCCAAAAATTTTGAAGCCACCCCCAAAATTAACATGGGATGAAACTGACAGAAGAGTAAAAAAAAAAAAATATGAAAAAAGAGCTTTTAGAGTCATTGAAAAAAGAATGAAATCAATTATTAAACTTATACTTTGAGAAACCTTTGCAATGAATGTCAAAAATTTGTGCTGCAATAATCAAGGCTAAAGAAGGATATTTTGATGAGAGCAAAATTTAATCATAAAATATTTTTTTTCTTTTTGTCACAATAAAATTTCTAATAAAAAATTATGCCTCACATTTTTTTAACCATGTATAATAATCTTCTCTTATTTAAAGTACAAAACAATTATTTTGGGGGCCAGTTTAAAAAATTACCAGGGGTGGCGTCAAACTTTTAAACTGTAGTATATATATATATGTGTGTGTGTGCCTGTGTCCATGTGAGTATATATATATATATATATATATATTTAATAGCAGAAAAATTGTTATGCTCACTTTTAATGTGATTTGTTAAAGATGTTATTTGGTGCACAAAATTAGCAGGTTTTCATATTGATCAGGTGAAATAATCCTATTTTAATTCTTTGTAATATTTTTATTCATGTCTCTTCTGTTTGTCTTTGATTTAATTTATATTTTACTATTTCATCTGTTATCAAAAATGGGATATAAACTATGTTTAAGTTTCTTCAAATAATTTCACTTACAATGTCTTTTTTTGCAGGTTTCAGAAAAAATATTTGTTGAATACAAAAATCTATTTTTTATTCTTTTTTCTTTTTATTAATCTTTTTCTAATTTCAATTGCAAAGTCTATTCATGGTTGTCATAAAAGATTTTGTTAGAAATCTTCAGTTTGGGAGATTCAAAAGCTGTTTTTTTTATTTGTTTGTATTTTCTCTATGTATTCATTTTAAAAAGAAGTTTCTTTTAAGTTTCTGAGAGTTTTATTGATCAGTTTTTTTCACTCTGAAATTTGATTTAATATTCTTTTTTTTTCCTGACATTCATCAAATAAGTATCATTTACACAAATTTTGGCAAAATAATGTTTTTTTTTTCCATATTAAATTCAAGCAAAACCTTTCTTATATGTTAGAGAAATATTTGGAATAAAAATATATTTTAAAAAATTCAACTGACAACTTTAAGCAAAATCATTTTAAATAACAATTTCCTGACTCAAATCTTTTAGCTTAGCAAGACATATCTTGTAATATACAAGATGTTAGCAGAAAGTTCCCTCCTGACAGACTCTAGAACTGATTCCAATAATGTGAAAAAGTTGATAGATTGTTTAGTGATAATCCTCATGGATAATGTAGTGAAGGCATCCATAGTTATCTCTTCTTTGAACTACTCTACTATAAAAAGTGATGGTCAAACCTCAAATATGTGCAGCAGTTGGATTGCTTTGAATAAAGCTTCATTACAAGCTTAAAGGTTTGTCTGTTTTCTTTAGAGATGAATTCACAATTTTTTTCCACTTTTTCTGGTCTTTTGCTAGTGACTGGTTACCCTGGATGCTCAAATGATGTTCAGCTGGCCTTGAAATTCATGTACTACTGTAAATCCTGGTTTCAACCAAAGAAATCTTCATCAAAAGTTTGAAGAAGTATTTCAAGGGTCTTAGTAGCAGATTTTCTGAGCTTTACACAAAATCTGTTACAGGCACTCTGCTCAAATTTGTCAGCCATCATAAAGAGTGCAGATATGTTCCAACTTTTTACATAATAATTAAACATAAGTAAACAGCAAGAAATATATTGACAGACTGTCTCATCAGGCTGGGTACCAGTAAGCACTAGCTGTGTAAACATTTCTGTTGAACACTACAACACAGTGTCTGGGAACTTTCAAATACCAACTTGTATATGAATGAAATGTATACTGCACAAATAACACATCAAAGAATGTAAACTTTCCAATTCAACTAAATTTCTTTAATGTTCAAATGTTGGGGAATATTATCAGAAATATATTCAAATGATGTTCCTTCACTCTACAACAATTAAATTACTCCAACAAACCCTATACATCCCAAAATTGGAAGGTTTATTTTCTTATCCTGTATATAATTTTCTATTCTTTCAATATAAAGCAAATAGTTATTCAACTTGTTATACAAATATTAAAATGTTATTATCAGATCCACATTTGATATTTAATAGTATCATTCTACAAATAAAGTCTTATATGATTAATAATTTTATATCCTACTAAGCACAAAGCAATACTGTCAAATCTAATAAATATTTATTTACATGTTGATGTTTTACCATGGAGTAATGATTAGCAACCTACTCTTGGAGATCATAACAGCTGTGGATAGTCTCGTCCTATATTAAACTAAACCTTCTTCTTGCCCAATAACATGCCAGGGTCATAGGAGTGCTACATAGTGGCCCGCTCAACAAGAAACCCCCACCAGATCTGGTCATTGACCACAGACTGGGTCTGAGCAAAGTTGTTCAATTTAATGACATTGTCCAACCATCTCTTCCTTTGGCAGCCTCTTCTACTTCCTCCTTATACTTCTCCTTGTAGTATGGCTTTTGGAGAGGCCTCACAATCTGGTTTACATAGCCATATAACTTCAGCTTGGTCTTCTTTATGATGGTAAACATATCATTATAATCACTTATCTTCATTTGTAACACAGTCAAAAGACATCTGAAGTATCTAATATCTGCAGCTCAGATCTACTTTACATATTTTATATGTAAGGCAGATCTTACAAACAAACTGGTATATGAGGATGGTTCAATAGATCCCCAGCTTGATACATAATTACTAGCTAAATTTTGAGCTTAAACTTACACTGTATAATGTTGAATCTAATTAATTCAACAATAAATTAAGAGGTTAGGTTAAAAATAAATATTTGTTGCATAGTATATATATATATATATGGGAGAATATGATATAATTTTTTTATATATCATAACAATATTAAGAAAATTAATGACTAAGTGGAAAACATTTTGTGTGATGCTTTTTGTCCTTTAGGACTTTGTCAGACTAAATCAATGTTTATCAATATCAATAAAACATTGCTTTTTTCCTTTATGATACTTAGACTTTATGAATTTAAGTGCAGTACTAGATTGGCGGCAAGGTTTCATCATTCTTCTTCTGTCTTCTTAATTCTTGTTCTTTTATTGTTCTCTCTCCTTAATAGTTATTTTTCTCATATTCTCTGACACTCAGTAATCTCTTGGATCTTAGTAGCTTTATTGTGGTGAAATGATAAAAGAAAATAATCCTAAAGTATGAAACAAGTCACACAAAATTATTTCCACTTTGTCAAAAATTTAACTAATGTCAGTGTGTAGACAGTATGGACACTGCAGTTTCACACCTCAATGAAATCTTCAGATCAACACTGTCTATGTTTATAAATGCTGTATCTCTAATACTGAACACTCTCCCCATATAAATATAGCAAATTTTAAACAATATGTGTGTGTGTGCAAAATCAGTTATGTAATTAATATTTTTATTGTTATTTCTACACTTTGTCCATCAAACCCACAATAATCTCCAAACAAAATTGCATTTCTGTTCATCCACTTGACATGCAAACTACATGCATTATTTTGCCAAGTTGTGTAAATTCAATGACAAAGTTGACTTGTACTGTCACTTCTGATACTTTTTAGTGAACCCCCTCAAACTGATAGCTGTTTCAGGTGAGTATTTGGTGATCACTACACATGTGCTGTAGCCATCCTCTCTATCTACAAAACCAGAAGCTCATCAATCATCTAGAAATGTCAAACTCTACACTTAAAAAACATTTGATCATAGATATCCAGCAAAGACCTGTTTGAGAATATATAGTTAAGAATTCAGTATAAAATATAGAAAGGATAGTTTATTTCCAAATTGGCTGTGTTATTTTAAACAAATTATTTTGTTAAGAGTATAAGCTTTAAAAAACATACTGATGTTCCCATTTATGAAAAAATGACCAGCTTCTTGTAATCTAGCACAATTATAAAAAATAAACCACCTTTTTTGGATTAGTGGCTGGTTGTGATTTCAAATGCTTTTGTTTTGTTTAGGTTAGCCAATCTCAAACTTATTAAAAACAACTGATATAAGAGAAATAACTGTAATTTATACAAGGAGAAAAATGTCACATATATCAACTAAAAGTATCTACGGATTAAATATTTTAAACTGAAATTTGAAATAAATAGTCTTACAGTCTGGTGAAACAAGATCCTCATTCCCTAATTATAAAAGATTTACATCAATTTTATGCTGACATGTTTTAATCTTATACATTTTCTCACTGTTATGTTGAACATAGTTTCAGTAGGAGACAGACTTATTGCCATATCATGTTGAAACACCATTTCTGGTATGATCACAAAAGTTAAGCATGTCAAGCAGGGTTAGTACCTAGATGGGTGACCACCTGGGAATACTAGGTGCTGTAAGCTTTGATTATCTAGTGGCCTAATGAATAACAGCTTGAGATGAGAAATCAGAGAGCTGAGTTCCAATTCCAATCAGGTTCATTACATTCACTTATGTGCCAATACCCTGGAAAATGTATGAATCCACCTCTTCTCTCCCCCGCTATAGGTTAAATAGTAGAGCATGTATCTGTAAATCATTATTATCTTCAAAAAATTCTTACAATCCAAAAATATTTTCTGGCTTTAAATAACCTGCAAAAGGTTGATAAACCATAAAAACAAATTAATCAATCAATCAATAAGCAACAATAGTGAGAACAACAGTTGAATGAGCAAAACAATTCTGTTTTAGCTAATAGTCTTGTCAAGGGCTTACAGCCTTATTTCACCCCTTATTGTTCACCAAATCCAAAGCAGAAAATAAAATAAATATGATTTCAATACAACTAATTTACAATATTCTTTTATATGTACTGGAAAAAATATTTTACAAATGTGTAGTAAGTTTGTAAGATTACTTTTTAAGCACTACCTCTGATCATTTTTTTCACTTCCATACAAGTTTTTATTTGTGAATATAGTTAAAAGAAAAAGCATACTAATAATTACTGCTTACTTGAAAAAAAATTTCTGGTTCAAAACCACTTGGGTTAAATTTAAGACAAAGATATCATTGAGTAAGCTGTCACATTAACAAAAATTGATCAAGTATTCTCCACATTTCATGCAGAGTTTTTATGGCAAAATATTACATCACTCAAGTCTTTCAATCAACCTATGGTTCTCCTACATGGCAGTCAATGCTGGACAATCTCATCATGGAAGAAAAAGAGACTTGAGGCAATAGAAATATGATTCTAAAGAAGGATGGTAAGAATATCATGCCCTGACGTGTGAGCAACAACAAAATTTTAAATAAAATGGAAACAAAAAGGACACTTATACTGAGAATCAGAAAAAGATAATTGAAATTCCAATGGAACATAATAAAGAAAGAAGGGTTTGAAGAATTTGACACTCACAGGATATACTGAAGGCAAGAGTGATAAAGGAAAGCAGCAAAATATCTACCTATCAAGAGATAGAAAAAAAGACAAATATTGCTAAGAACTACAAAGAACAGAAAGTTTTGGGGAGCCATGATAACACAGGTCCTGAAAGGACATGGCACATAGAAAAAAAGAAGTGTCAAGATTTGGTTTCTGCAACTTCTGAATTTTATAAAAATTAAAATCACCATTGAAATGATATAAAGAAAACTAAGGAGGAATTAGTAAAGCAGCTGATACTATTCCAAAAGAGGACTTTGTTACTGTTGTACAATTCTCAGGTGGTCACAAAAAGCAATATAATACTCATAAAGAGTATTATATATATTGAGGTACAAGGATAAACTTAAGCAAAACATAAATTCTATTGACATTCCAGTGTCATCCATTGAAAAAGTGGTTCCTGATTGCAGCAAGCAGAGGAACATGCACGTAAAAGGCATTACAACTTTTGAAAGGTAACACATTTAACATTTTCATATTACAAGGTAGATCACTAAACACTACTCTAACATTCCTGAAGCTTTCATAAGGAGTGCTGTTCTTTGTGCTGTATGTAGAATGTAAGTCTCAAGTTGGCCTTAAAATTTATCAAAGGGACAAAACATAACTTGATGTCTGAAGGTTGACCCCTTATACATTGAAAATGACAAGAGAGTTCATCCTATATATATATATATATATATATATATATATATATATTGTCACAGTATAAGATATTTGAAAGCAAACGTATAAAGAAATTGAATGAGATTGGCTAGACTGTGTTCAGACATGTCTAATGAACAAGAAAACTTTAAAACTTCAAAGTTTTATTTGTTAAATTACCATTCTCACATCTTCAACACTTCTTCTCGGTACAAAATTATAACTTTGTCTATGATAATAATCTACATCAGGCAGCAAAGTCTCTGATCAAGAGATTGAAAGTTTTGAGGAGCGTGGAACCACCTCTTTATTGCTGTTGTTCACAGGCCTACCTAGATCTGGGATGGTAGCACCTGTTAGGGTTCTGTCTATGAGTAAATAGTGAACCCCACAGATGAAGATCACTCATCAACAACCCAATGTCACCAATAAGAACCTTTGATAGAGAGAAATTCCTTAGTCCTTGTTAGGATATCTCCCTGGGAGAAGGTAAACTCTGATGTAACACCTGCAATACACTAACAACCAATGATGTTGATATACACTTCTTTTTGGATCATTGTATGTGCTGCTCAGAGTGGGATTACCCTGTGCACAGTCTTTCTTCACTTTAAAAATTTCACGCAGAGACATTGCACAATGCTTTGGGAAATCTCACTGGGTGATGTGTATGGGAGGCTGTAACCTTAAAAGGTATGACTATTATGATGAATCACAATAATAGGAGCTCTGGAACTGTACCTGGTGAAAGGGTCTGCTTGAGGGGTATCTCAGGGCATCACAGCTTGGGCATAGATGTAGAGTCAGTGGAAAGGTTTGTAAATCATTAACCACACTTAAAGGTCATGTCAACGAATCTTTATGGAATATTGTGTGGTGGCCATGCTAGATAAAGAGAAGGCAGCTATAATATATATATATATATATATATATATATATATATATAAAATAATCCCTTGGACAATATTAATAGCATTGAGAAGAAAGACATGCTACATGGGCAAATGATTAATACTGATAAAATCTAGCCCAGACTTAGGTCCTGGAGAGGACAATCCAGCATCATTTCATCATGATGGTAAAACACAAACTGTATCAAATGCATGGTCTCTCATAATTGATGGATGCCATGCAGACACACAAATAAAGATGAGGAAAATATAAGCATATATATGCATACATATATTGAGCATCAGTATATATGTGTGTGCATATGTATGTGCTCATAGGTATAAAATTATCCTTATTTGTATGTGCAAATATAGACATATGCATACACATAATCAATAAACACACATACACACACACACAATCAGAAATGGATATACTTAAAATTTAAATGTACAGTGAATCTATTCAGCTTCTTCCCCAGCATATTATCTGTGGAAAGGAGTTTTCGGCAATATTTGTATTTCAGAAGTTGTCATAGCAATTGAATTTAAATAAATGTTTATAACCAAGATAATGCAATTGCTTGAAATTCTGGGAGGAATCATTATCATTATTCCAAAATTGCTGGATTAATAGTAAGTATTATGAGTTGTAACAACTTAGAGAATAATTCTGTCATGTTTATAACCATAGTAATGTACTGGAAGGAAAGCATTCAACAGGTAATTGTCATCTTCACAATAACTGTTCTAATATATTAAAGTTAATAAAAACAAATATCAGGAGAAAAAGTAATATGTTGCTTATCCATAAGAAAGAGAAGAGTCAATAATGGATAGAATTTATTGAAATACAATTATTTGTAAACAAGAAGATTACAAAATGTACAACATGAAGACAGAAATATACAAATAAAATCTAAGAAAATATAGATAAACACTAATATCAGATATCACTACGCAAATGTTTTCTACAGGATTTGGATTAGTATCTTCATCATTGTTGTTTTTATCACAATGTTTCTGTTGATATGTTCTTCAATTGTTTTTGTGTCTTTATTGAATTATCTTCAGAGGTTAACACTTTTTGCTTATTCATATCAATAAGAAAATCAGATTAACAAAAGCAGCTAATCTCTCCTCTGTCCTAACTCTCACAGTTCAGTGAGTTGCTGGTATCATTTAATACCTCCAAAACAAAACTAGTAACATTTCATTACCATCAAGCAGATGCTAAACCAAGATGATGCTTCCCTGGCAACTACAATCCAGTTCTCTTCAAGTTGAAGGTCAAATGATATCTATCCTATGTATCCTCATAATGTGCACTTCTTGATCCCTCGTTCCCCTCCCTTACAACAATCTTGCTCAGTAACCCTCTACCTTGATTGACTCCTGGGCCTTGAACTAAGAGCACAAAAAGGAAGAATATATGACCAAAACAAGAATAGATTTTTAGACTATAGAGAAGCCAGTTCTCAAGAGAATTAAATTTAACTCCTAAGGTCGTCCATACCAATATTTAACATCATTCTGGCACCCTGATAAAAACAGATGGATTTTACTAATTATGCCTGACTGTTTATTTTATGAGTGCAACACTTTGATGATTAGTTCCATAAATTTATTAAAGTAATGGGAATCTTATCATAGAGATGAAAAGAAAAAAAAGATCTAAACAACTTCTAGAAAAATACATCTAAGGAATGCCAAAGGACATATTTTCCAAAACATAACGATAAAAACAACAAAGCCATATTAATAAATAACTAGTTTGAATAATGTGTACAATAATAGAAGTACATAATATCAGAACCTCCTACAACATTTAACAATATTCTTTTTATTTTAATTTTAATTAATATACTTTCAGGATAAAAGCAATCTTGACTCTCAAGAAACTCCTTTTTTTATGACCCGTGAATTGTCACACATTCGAGGGAAAGGTAATGGATTGGTTTCCTATTGACTTCTTCACAGTTTGGGTTTCAGAATTTTCCTTCTCTCAGACTGGTTGCCACCAAGACTAGGGATCCCATATATGTAAGCTATAACTAGGGATAAAGAAGAAACAGAATCATGTCATTCCCAAGAGCATTAGTATTGAACTGAATGCCACAGACTAGGTTGGAATTAGAACTTGGCTCACCAGTTTTACTTCCCCACCCCAATAAGCATTACATCACCTGCACATTTATCAATATGTAAAAATTAATAAAGAAAATTTACATATAATGGAAATATCAGTTCATATATTAAAAGTTAACATTTTCAAAATTCTGAAGAATAAAATTAAATAACAAATATCAAATAAAATGGTAATATTTTTTACAGAAAGGAATTACTGTTTTTATGTAGATCACTCTGGGAATAAAAGCTTTCAGCTGCTACTGTCTCAGCATGTAAGATAGTTATGGGGGAGTGGTTTGCTGAGGTGTTCACTTATCCATTCTCTTCTCTGTTATGATATGCTGGTGACATGATATTTAGTCATTTGGTGATGAGACAAAGCACAGGGCAAGTGAAATTCATGCCTTTCTTTAAGGTTTCAGTTAAGTGCCATACATAAGTGCAAGCGTATTAATATATAGTTTTTATAAGACCACTCTGGGAATAAAAGCTTTGAGCTGCTACTGTCTCAGCATGTAAGATAGTTATGGGAGAGTGGTTTGCTGAGGTGTTCACTCTCTTCTCTGTAAATCATCATGATATGCTGGTGAAATGATATTTTGTCAAGATATATGATAATGAGACAAAGCATAGGGAAAGTGGGATTCATGCCTTTCTTTAGGGTATACATATAAAATGAACAAGCAAACTTAGCTTAACTTGCTAATTCCATTTCCCATGCTCATAACTGATATCATCTCACACCACATCAGAAAAACTTTGAATTGCAATAACACTGACTTAACTCTGAAAGTTAGTAAAGTATACAGTTCGAATTCATGTATTAATTTATGTGATTAGATAATTTGGAATGATCAAGACATATTTCAGAAAAAAACTGCAACTTCCATGATACTGTATAATTTTTTCCAGCTGTTAGCAAACTTTGTTCTAAAAGGATATTTAATTCTTTAAGATAGAAAAAAAAGAAATATTTCTTTATTCTGACAAGATAAAATGCAAAGAGAAGACAAATTTGGCCAGAATTTATCATGTCTAACTTTGTTTTTAATCGTGAGAACTCAAAGCTTAATTTTTGATGCATAGTTATTTCCTAGGAGTTCATGTCAAATAATAGTATCATTATATAATCATAAAAATTCCTTGTTATTTTATATGTTCTTAAGTTTCAACTGCAAAAAAAAAATAGTCTCTTAAAAAAACGGAAAGTTGTATCACAAAATTTTTAATACATACAATTATATATTCATTTCTGTTGGTTACTTAAGTGTTTCTTGGTGTCAACAAATAGTTACCCATTATGCTAAAACACATGATGTTGTATTCTGTTATTTTATATCAGTTTAATAGCGGATATGTCTGGTTAAAAGAGAATTTAACATTATTCCATGAATTATTGAGATAGATATCCTCATTTTTTTGTTTTTATTAAAATGCTTCAGCTGTTCTTTAGTCTTAGGAACACATTGTTCAAAATGTTATAAAAAATCTATGATGAGGATACTAGTTTGAGTAATTTGTGGAAAAATAACAATGTTTAATGTTAGAATTAGACCAAGTAACAATGTCTGTATCATTTATTTTATAAAATACAAAATGCTTTATGTATAAATTACATATTTGAAACAGCAGCTTAGACTGCTCTGCTGGCTTGCAGGCATATCATGTTGAAACACCAGTTTTCATTTGATCAACAAAGTTAAACAACAATGAGCCTGGTCAGTACCTAGATGAGTGACTGCTTGGAAATACCAGGTGCTGTAAGCTTATATGTACAGGTGGTGTAATGGAGAATAGCATAGAATTGGAAATCAAACAGCTGAGTTCCAATTTCAGTGAGGTTAGTTATATTCATTTACATGCAAATACCTTAATTAATCCATAGCTGAAGGGAAGAAGAGATGGATTCAAACCTTTCCAGGTCTGCATTCATCTCTTCTCCCCTCAGTTATGGATTAATTAATACAATTACTATGCCACCAAATTCATGAACCAATGCTTTAATCATCTGGCCTATTGTCCTGTGGGCATAGTATTTTGTAAGTTCATCCCTAGGTTGGGTTGTACAGACTCATACTCAATGGAAACAGGTCTAGTACTAACTGAGCAGTATTAAAAAAGATATCCCAAGATCTGGACAGCAGAACAAAACAATCTGCTTAAATATAGGGTTCAGTTCAAAAATTCCCTGAAAGTTACCCAAACAGACAAACACCAAAGGAAGGTATGACAGCTGAAGTATTGTGATAGTAGCAACAAAGACAATATTAGTCTTACTGCAAATAATGTAAATAAATTTCTGTAGGTTGCTATTTTGGCTCTTTCTATATATCATGTATATTTTAGTCCTGTTCAAGATTAACAATAAAAGTAACAGTTTTTGTTACAATATGGATATATTAGGTTGGCCAGAAAGTCCTGACTCACTTATGAAGTGGAAAGAAAACAAAATTTTATGGAACAAAACCAACATTTATTCTTCAAAATAAAGTCCATCATTCTTGACAATATTCTGCCAGTGATCAGCCAGCATCTGAATCCATACCAGATACTAGACCACTGACTTTGAATAAAAAAAAACTGTAAACAAGCTTCCTTCACTTCATCAAAAGTGTTGAATTACTGATTGCAGAGGAAAGGTGCCACTGAGTGGAATAGTCCATAGTCACTCGGAGCTGCATTGGGACTGAATGATGAATGTGGAAGAATCTCAATACCATCCATCTGTTTGAACTTCTTAGCTAACCTGGCAGTGTGTGGCCTCGAATTGTCTTGCTGAAACAAAGCCTGACTTCAATTAAACAAGGCAGGATATTCCTTTTTTAGTTTGTCATACACGCAATCTAGCTGCTGGCAATACAGTTTAGCATTGATGGCACAATCGTATGAAACAAGCTCAAAATGCAGTACTCCTTAGAAATTCCACCAGACAGAGATCAAGATTTGTTGTTTTCTTTCCACTTCTTAAGTGAGTCAGGACTTTCTGGCCAACCTAGTATAAGGCATTTATTGGAGTAGAATTCACACAAGTGCTTAATTACCTACTCTTTTCTCTCTCAAACGTTGTGGCATGCCAGTGACAAGACATTTTGTCAAAACATAATGTAATGTAACTCAATGTATTTAGTTAAACTGTTCTATATACTTTAGCAAAATAAACAGTTTTGTATTTAAAATTTACAAGAAAAATAGATGAACATGATGTCAACTTAGATAATTATTACTTATTATTATATATTCATATGTTAACACATACATACACACGCACACATACATACATATATATATAAAAATAGTCAGTGTTCAAGCCTAGATAAAAATACAGAATTTTTATTGCTAATTTTTAAAATAAGCAAGTAGGCCCTTCCCACAAGAAAAACTGGTGCAATACAGTCTTCCTATTCTTATTTTCTCACCATTTAGCTTTGTGCCAGACAATTTTAAGCTTTCTAAATATCTATAGACTTCTATATCTTTAATATATGTAAAATCTGATGCACTGACTTGGATTGTTCAACATGTTTTTAAAATAAGAAATGCATTTGTTAATAGTTGTTTGCCTGCCCTGACCTTTATTTCATATTTTTAATTGATATCTTTATATGATAATCATCTTACATCTTATCAGGTTGAAATTATAAATAACTTATATTGTTTGTAACTTTGTGTACAGAGTAAAACAAACAAATCAGTGACACACTTAAAGCAAGGAATGTAAAGAAATATTTAAAAACTCTGCACTCTCTAAATTGAAAGAAAATATTTGAAAGAATATAGCAAATAAATTTAGGCTTCTAATCTAAACTGCTGATATGCACAACGATGTATATTAAAAAACTGGATTTAAAAAAGGAATAAAAGAAAATTAGAATTTAATTTAAGTCATTTTATCAACTAGTCTTGTAGACTAGTTGATAAAATGACTTAAATTAAATTCTAATATTCTACAAGACTAGTTGATAAAGATTTTCTATTTAATTTTTTTGTCATATTAACTTTTATAGCAAAAATGACCCCCAGAGATTTCATTTGCAAAGCCAGAAATTTCAGTTTAGGACATAATTCTGAAATTAGAAATTCCAGTGAATATGTGGCAGCTATTTTGAATATTTAAAGCTAATTTGCATAATTTGGGAAAGATCCCTGAAAAGGTATCTTACAATTTATGAGAAAATTTAGTGTGTTGGGATGCTAATTTTGATAGCTTATTAATAAACAAAACTGACCATATTTCATAATTGATAATTCTGCAATAAGAAGATTAAGTAATGCTTTCATCAAGTATAAATGAACACAATTTAAACTTGTCAATCTCCTAAAAAAATTAGTAAAAATGTTAGATATTTTACTAATTCTTTATATAGTTGGACATTTCTATACCTTAATGAGTTTCTGTTCTGATACTGCTGTCCACTCTGCCATTTTTACCCAAAGAAGGTGCACCTGGTGTTTTAGTGGTTCTCAACTCATGGTTTTGTAGAGAAAGGGAAGCTTTGTTATTTTCTCTCCTCTTGCTCCTCCTTTGCCTACTCCTCCTACTCCTGTTTTTCTTCTCCTCCTTTTTCCTGAACTTGTTCCTGGGTTCTTTGGTTACACTGGTTGATTATGGAACTCTTAATTCTCCAGGACAGATCTTCCTTCTACTAAAATCCTTTCTTCGGGATGGTTATAAGATATCTTGTCATCTATCTCTGTTATGCACATATGTTTCTTCAAATCTTTGCATGATTGTCTCTGATATATTTTTTACCTTTGGGCATTTAAAAAAAATTATTAATGACTGTTATATACTGCCTATAATGTCAAAATAATTAATGAAACAAAATAGTATTGCCAGTGAGGCGGAAAGAAGATGAGACAAGATATGTTAAAATAAAGGATCAAGGTGGAATGTCTCTTTGTGGATGAGGGAAGCAACCTGGAAGATGAAGGTGTCAGTAGTGTATGGAATTGACATTGAAGCTTGTGTTAGGTTGGTTGAACCAAAGCCACTGAACTCTATGATTGCCTGCCTACCTTTTGAGTGTTGAGAGCAGGTCCTTTTAAGCAGTCAGGGTGGATACATGACTCAACATTTTTGTCATGCTTTTGCTTTAGCAGCAACATTCATGAATGACACCAACGTTTTTAAATTGTATTTTATATTTTTGAGGGATTTGTTTTGTGAGCCAAATGCAATGCCTGGAGCCCCTGTGCAGCGAGCAACTTTTTTATTTTTAATTTTGCTTTCATAGTGTTCACATCCAGCTGACAGGTTTTAATGCGGAGTGAATCAGAAAGACATCCAATTTGAAGCAGAGTATGACATGACTGAAAAAAAATTAAGGTTCATTATGTAAATAAATATGAAACACTATGTTTTAAGTGCTATTCATAGTGAAATGTCCTCATTAAGCTAAGTGTATGAAAATTCAATTTTCAATGTTTCAGAAGGTTTCATTCCTAACCTCTAGAAATATGATTTTATGCTGTATGTTTTAACCACTGAACTACCATCCAATTATTCAAAGGTTATGAATCTTCTCACATTTATATAATAACAAAGATTTTCTTTTACCAAAAAAATCAGATAACCAGGTTAATTCTGGAAAATAATGGACTTGCAGCAAACATTGTGATTATTGTCCATGATATCAATAATAACAATAAAAATAAGTAAAATAAAGTTATTCACTAAGTTGTCAAGACATTCAATAATTAAGTAAACAAATTTGCCTTACTTTATTATATATATTCAAATATGGATTTAATCTTACAAAATGATTAAATAAAGAACAAGTAGAAAATTTTTTTAATAAATTTAACATGTTTTGCTAAATAAATAGCAAAACATGTTAAATTTATGAAGATTTTCCCACTTGTTCCTTATTTAATCATTTCCCAAAAAAAGACTCCAACTTCACTATATTTTGTTGAGAAAAGATACAGATATATCTGAAAATTCTGATTTTTAATATTTCTCTCATGTTTCTATTTTGTCTAATGGCATAATAATATACAATAATAATAATTATTAGTATCATTACCTTTGATTTCTGTTGTATATTCATTTCCTTCTTGTCTGAACCAGAGACCTAAGGTCAGAAATGATATCATGACATTTCCAACAGAATATCTGTGTAACCCCCACCCCACAAGAAAATAAAGAGACACACATTTTATAGAGAAAAAGATTTTTGTAGGGTGTGCTTAAGAATTTTTGTATTTTTTAATTTTTTTTTAAATTATTATTATTGTCTTTTTCAAATGTATTTCATCAGCCTCTCTCTCTCTCTCTCTCTCTATATAAGAGGGTACTGAAAAGTTTTTGGCATAATCCACTTTCTAAAATCTGATTAAATTAATAAACACCAGATTTTGGGGTGAATATCTTTTGGTTTGGCTTATAACTTTTCATTTATTCAGGTTCACAGACATATGTTGAAACATTTAAGTTTAAGCAATGTATAGCCTGGTCAATACCTAGATAGATGATCACTTAGAAATGCCAGGTGATGTAAGCTTGAATGTGTCAGTAGTATAATGGATAATGGCTTGGAAATGAAAATCGAAGAGCAGAGTTCAAATTCCAGTTGGGTTCATTATATTCACTTATGCATAAATAACTTTGACACATCCTCACACTCCCCAGAATGAATATGAATGTGTTATTTGTGGTGTATATAAATTAGTAATCACTCCCTCTCTCTCGCATACATGTCTGTCAACATGAAGCATATATGATTATAAAATGTGTTATTTGTATCAATATATCTCGTGTTTTTC